CTAAGCTTGGTTCAGCCCAGTTGGGTCGATGTATAGCCCAAGAGTCTTTTCACACTGCAGAGTTGATGCTGGCTGGGGAATTCTGGGAGTTGAAGTTCAAAGTGGCCAACGTTGGACACCCCCTGCTGTAGAATCAAGGCCCAGCCTCTGGTAACCATATTGATTTACGTAGCGTGCTTCTGAGATACTGGAGACCATCTGTGGTTGCAGGCATTAATTCATTCACCTTCTGGTTGGGGGTGATTTGTCACAGCCCGTGTCCCTCATTAGGCAAAACCAATTCTTTCAGTGAAAACGAGCTTCTGCACACACACACACACACACACACACACACACACACACACACACGGCCTATGAGTCGCAGCCCCTTTTAGCATCTAGGTTGAAGCTGGTTGAGTTTGTTTAACCCAGAACTTTGAAGTTAGCACCACTTTGATTCAGTGCTCAGTAAAACAGATGCCTGTGACACTCTTGAATTAATGCCCTGGAAACGTCATCTTAAGTCATCTTAAATCACGAACAGAAATGATATATGCATCACTTGCCATAGCGATAGAAAAACATGACTATTAATTTCAATCTCTTCTCCTTTTCTGTTAACAACACGCTACACAACCATGATCAGGATTTCTGCCAACGTTGCATGTAAGCATATTTATCTGACCAACTCACTGACCAAGTCTTTTCTTTTCTCTTTCTTTCTTTCCTTTCTTCTTCCTTCCTTTTTCTTTCTTTCTTTCTTTCTTTCTTTCTTTCTTTCTTTCTTTCTTTCTTTCTTTCTTTTTCTTTCTTTCTTTCTTTCTTTCTTATCTTTCTTTTCCTTCCATTTCTTTCTTTCTATCTTCCTTCCTTCCTATCTTCTTTCCTTCCTTTCTTCTTTTTCTCCCTGTGCCTGGCCTTATCAAGTATTTAAATAAATAAATAAATACACACAATATATTTTTACCACTAGAAAAAAAAACAACTGACAAGAAGCTCTAACACATCCAGGAGTGAGTGTCATCAAGGAAGCGTGCACATTTTGTGTTTTATTTTGTTTTTCCAACATCTACTGAACCTTTCTGTCTCCACCCCATGTGAACATGTCTTTTCTGGACACCATTAAATCTTAATCTATTCCAGCTCTGCTTATGGGTCATTGATTCTATAGGTACCGTGGTTCTTTTTTTAAAGGCTTCCCTTCGGTCAGAGAGGGAAGAGAGTTGTCCTGAGACAGATGGACCACTTCACACTTCATTTATCAAACCAAATAGTCTAGACCCCGCCTCCTGAGCTTGCTCCTTGCAGTTCAACTTCCATACAATTTGGTAATAATTTTCATTATCGGACCGTGACCTTAAAGCCAACAACTGAGCTCTTTTTTCTCCTGGCTGTGTTTTGCTTTTGCACGGCTGATTTGAAATTCACAGTTATCGGCCTTCAGTTGTCTGACTCTCCAAGAGTTAGGAGATGCGAGAAGCTGCCTGTGCCTTTTTGGAGGGGCAGGAATGACCCTTGGCAGTCAGAGGTCAAGAAGGGGTCAGTTTGAAGAGCTCAAGAAACTCTTTTAACAGCTATAACAATCTGCCCATCAGATGTTATCTGGTAGAATAAATAAACCACAGCTTTTAGCAACCTATTCTCCATATGAATCCCATTTCGATCACCGCAATATATGTTGATACTCTGGAAAGAGTGCAGAGAAGAGCAGCAAAGATGATTACGGGGCCTGGAGGTTAAAACATATGAAGAACGGTCGCAGGAACTGGGAATGTCTAGCTTCATAAAAAGAACTAGGGGTGACATGACAGCACTGTTCTAATATTTAAGGGACGGCCACAAAGAAGAGGCAGTCAAGCTATTCTCCAAAGCACCAGCAAGCAAGAAACAACAGATGGGAACAGATCAAGGACAGATCCAACCTGGAATTTAGGAAACACTTCCTAACAGTGAGGACAATTAACTAGTGGAATGAGTTGCCTTCAGAAGTCATGGCTGCTCCATCAGAGGAACAAGGTCTCTTCCAACTCTGTTATTCTGTTAATTTATGTTAGGCACCATTTCTATCGAACAGTTGATTCCCTTTTGAGAAGAGAGATTTTCCCCGAGTCCAGAAAAGAACCGTTGGGAAGGTATTACTCTCTTGCTCCATATCTACCTCCACCAGCCCACCAAGATCTGGGAATGGCAACGTTGAAGATCCTGAACAAGGAATGGGAGGTTTCAGGTTCAATTCCATCTTCTTCCAAGGACACTTTGGACCAATGATCCTCGTCTTCTATTAAATACTTCCAGAGACTTTGATTATGCTTCGCCTCCACCTTCTTTGTGAAATTTCCCACAGTAAGTTTCCACATGGACAATCAGTCTCTTTAATTAGTGGAAGCTTTAGCAATGGAGGCAATTAAAAAAAAAAAACAATGCTAATATTCAGAGGTCTCCAAGGTCCTGGCTGCACTTAGTTGACTTGGATCGGAAGTTCCAGATATTTATTACCCAATTGGAACAGCAAACCCAAGGTTAGGGCATTTGGCAAAATTACCAGATTATTCTGAATTCCTCTTGGTAACTATAAGGAGTCTGACTTCTTCCTTCCTTTCCTTCCTCCCTCCCCTTTCTCTTTTTTCCTTCCTTCCTTCCTTCCTTCCTTCCTTCCTTCCTTCCTTCCTTCCTTCCTTCCTTCCTTCCATCCATCTTTCTCTCTCTCTCTCTCTTACTTCCTTTCCTCCCTCTCCTTTTTTTTCTTTACTTCCTTCCATCTCTCTCTCTCTCTCTCCCTCCCTCCCTATGTCTTCACTCATCTATTTATTTTATATTTCTTGAAAGCTTTCCCCATCATATGCCTTCTCTAATGTGCAGGACAAGGTCATTAAATTCACCAGTATTTAACTTCCAGAATGGGGGCGGGGGGAGGGAGGAAAGAATAAAACAATAATCTACTAACTCATCTAGCCTATCCCTTGATAGCTTGCTAAAAGTAAAACACTATAACCTACTGCCTGGCCTTTGACAAGTGCTAATTCTTTCCCGTTGAAGCATATTTTTCTTGTGTAATTCCAAAGTACACAATAGGCTGATCTCTAAAACTCAACAGTGCTCCTCCAGAGAGGCACTGGGTGTTTTATAACTTTCACCACTTTGTGTTTGTGTGTGTATATGTGTGCGTGTGTTTATATTAGCACTGGAGCCTAACCATTTCTCCAAACCTTTGATGAAGCAGAAGTGCAGGGAAATGGGATATGTCTAATCTTGTGAAAAGAAGGACACTAGCGGTGACCTGATAACCATGTTCCAATATTTGAGAGACTCCCAAAGAGAGGGGGTCAACCTATTCTTCAAAGCACCTTAAAGCAGAACAGGCACCCACGGACGGAGACCAATCAAGCAGAGAAGCAACCAAGAACTAAGGAGAAATCTTGAGGTCTAGGGAATACAGAAAGTGCAGAAACGGGCCCCTTTTTCAGCCTCCTGAGGCTGCAGAGGCTTTCCTCGAGCCTCCGTAAGGCGAAAAAGGCCTCAAATGGGATGATAATCAGCCGGGAGGCGTGCACATGCACAGTGCAGATAAGGGGGCAACACTGCAAATGCGTGTTGCACACGCATTTACAGGGGGGGGCGCATTGCATTGCGGGTGTCGGCACACGAGCGCGCTTTCGTCACACCACAACAAAAAGGTTCGCCATCACTGGTATAGGGTCTCCTGCTGGAGCAGTGGGTTGGACTAAATGACCTCCAAGGTCCCTTCCAACCCTGTTATAAATCACAACAGATTATTTACTTGGTGGATCCTACAGATGGGGGCTCTTTAGGACAGGTCAGTCAGAGACAAAAAAAACCTCGACTAGAGCCAAGGGAAAGAGGAATTAATTGTAGTTATAGAATGCTCCGGAGACACCTTCTTTTGAATGCTTTCAAGTTACCTGGCTCTTGAGATTTTCTTTCAGGTGTTTAGGTATAATGAGGCCCTGTGCTTTGCCTGCCTCTTTTCTCCCTCCCTTCTTCAACCTTCTGGTTCCTCTCTTCTCCACCCCGATGCCTGCAAAATACTTAACATTTTTGTCCTAGAGGCTCAATTATGCCACTTGGCTCCAGCTTGGGAATAAATTGATAGCTTTAGGGGAAAACAACAACAACAAGGAGGAAGGGAAAAAAAAAACCCATTGAAACTAGAAGCGTTCAAAGAGAGTTGCCGTTCCCCTCCATTCAAAGAAAATCCATATTTATTGCATATTTGCTCTACTAAACTGATCTATTTCAGTACGTTAACCTTTGGTAGGTTTCCTTGTCTGTTTGGTTTTTTTTTTCCTCCCAACCCACACACACACACTCAGAGTTTATAAATATTTAGCAGTGTGTCTGAATTCCTACCTGGGCAAAACTCTAAATGTCTGAACATTCCCTCCCCAGCACAGGTAGTCCTGGACATACGATCACAATTGAGCCTCACATTTCAGCTGTTAAGTGAGACATTGGTTAAGTGAGTTTCCGCCCCCTTTTACCACTGGGCATGCCTCGGTTGTTAAGTGAAGCACGGCAGCTGATGAGTTAGTAACTCAGTTGTTAAGTGAATCTGGCTTCCCCATTGACTTGGCTTGTCAGAAGATTGCAAAAAGAAGGAAGGAAGGAAGGAAGGAAGGAAGGAAGGAAGGAAGGAAGGAAGGAAGGATGGAAGGAAGGAAGAAGATTGAGATAAGGGAGAAAGGGAGGGAAGGAGGAAAAGAGGAAGGAAGGAAGGAAGGAAAGAAGGAACTCCATTAAGATAAGATGCAATGGGATATAAAACAACGCAGGAGTGTTCAAATGAAAATTAAGATCTCTTAGTTAGTTTCCTCTTTAGAATCTAAAATGAGACATGCTCAAGAAAATCTATATATATATAAACATTTGGATTGAACATTATTGCTGGGAAGGCTCTTACTTTTTCTACTTTTTCTACTTTTCCTTCCATGCAATTTTCATGTCTTTTTTTTAAAAAACGTATAATGGACCTACTGTGCTCTCCTTCTACACCACTTTCTCACCTCGCCAGCCATTCTTGACGCAGAGCCTGTCGTTCGACCTGGAGGGGCAGAAGGCAGCGGATTTTTTCATTCCTTTGTTCCTCCATCTGTTCTTCTTTTCGTAATTCACAGAGCAATAGACTTGTCTTAAGAGGGGGGAGGAGAGGAGGGGTTGGGGAAGGGTTGGCAGCAGCAAAGAGAAAATGCCGTAAACGTTATAAAACAAATATAGAAAGAAACAAAGCATAAAATTAATTAAGCAGACCATAAGCAAATAGGGACAGTAAATCAATGTCCCTTTTTATTACAGTTCTATGGCCTGGAAATCAATACAGTAAACGATGGGTCAAAAACGAGACCACCTCGGTGTGGTATTTAATCAAAGTACATGAAATTTTAAGCTGAAAATCTTAAAGCATCATCAGGTTAGTATTGGGAATCTGGATTTCATTTTTGTCAGATGCAATTATTTGATTTTTCTGATAAATACAAAACAAAACACACACACAAAAAAACCCCAATCCACCAAGTTGGAATATTTGTAATGCAGTTTTCTAGAAATACATTTTCAGCCTCACACTGTTCTTTCTCATATGCTACTTATTAGTAGGGAAAGGAAGGAAGGGAGGGAGGAAAAGAGGGAAGGCAGGAAAAGAGGAAAGGCAGGAAAAGAAGGAAATAGTGAAAAAGGGAGGGAGAGAGAGAGAGGAGGGAAGGAAGAAAATAAAGTGGAAGGAAGGAAGAAAAAGAAGGAAAAGAGGAAGAAAAGAAAAGAAAAGATGGAAGGAAGGAAAAGAGGAAAGGAAAGTGAAAAAGGAGAGAGGGAGGAAGGAAACGAAGCAAAAAGAAGGGAGGGATGGAGGGAAGGAAGGAAAAGAGGAAAGGAAGGAAAAAGTGAAAAAAGGAGGAAGAAAATAAAGTGAAAGGAAGGAGAAGAGGAGGAGGAGGAGGAGGAAGGAAAAGATGGAAGGAAAGAAGGGAGGAAAAGAGGAAAGGAAAGTGAAAAAGGAGAGAGGGAGGGAGAAAATAAAGCGGAAGGAAGGAAGGAAGGAAGGAAGGAAGGAAAGAAGGAAGGAAAGAAGGAAGGAAGGATAGGCTGTGGGAAGAAAAGAAGGAAGGAAAGGAAGATTTTGAGAAGGAAGGAAGGAAGGAAAGAAAGATCATTAAGGTAAGATGCAATGGGAGAATAAACTTCTTCCAGCATGAGGTCTACAACATGAACTATTCCGCTCAATCATACTAATGCGGAGAAAGTATGAATGCATAAAGATGTATACATTTCCTTTCAGAATGAGATGTTGCTTATATTGCAAACGTGCTTTACATGATTAAGTCAACCACGACTTCAGGGTGATGAGGTCAGAACCGCAGCCTCGGTGAATATAAAATAACACAGCTTCCAAGTGCTCAATTCTCATTTTCAAACCTGGCTTAGCCAAAGGTTAGAAGGCGATAAGAAATATCTTGACAGCGTGAGGTCGAGGGTTCAAGAAACGTGGTCCAAGATATTATCAACTTGGAAAGCCATTTCCTCAAATCAACACTGTGGGTTGTTTTTTTTTTTTCCCTGCTTTAATTTTGTAAAGAAGAACTGATCAATCAAAAGCTTGAGTGGTACATTCCCTCTCTCTAAATATGTGTGTGTGTGTACACACACACACACACACACACATATTTGGAAGATGTTCTTTTGAACAAGGGCCTTCTTATCAAAGTAAGGTCAACCCTGGGGTATTTCATTCACTTAATGGTCTTTAATGACAGATGATTGTCCGTAGAAACTCTGTTTCACCCAATGTTGAGTGAAGCCTTCAATTTCGGGATCGCCCTTCGTTTCCTTCACAAGGCCTGTCTGGGACCTGGGGTCACTTTTGAACCAAGACATGAGGCAGGCAGGTCTGTCTTATCTCATCGGTCGCTCAACGGAGAATTTTTTGGAGGCTTCTAATGTTTAGGATATGTTGAAGGCTATCTTCCTCTTCTCCCTTCCCTGCTGAAAACACATCCGGAATGGGCCCAAGCGAGAAAGATAACAAGCCACAACATGGATAACTCTGTGCCACAAAAAAAGATTCTAGATTGTTGGTTTGGCTGGCCAGGGAGGTAAGACCTTCTCTCAAAGAATAGGCGGTGATTTAGGCCACGTTTGGGGTGTTGAATTCTCTCCGTTCCCGGAGCCAAACAGGCAAAAGGGTGTCCTGCCCAGCTTTAGCACTTAATTTTGTCAACAAATAAGGTTTTCATCGGGAGATCTAATGTACTTTCCAGCCTTTTCAAAGAGATTAACAAGGATCAGTTCTGAGCTCTTGCTAAGCCCTTCTCACTTCAAGGGAAGGAGACTGAGGGATCAAAACAAATAGCCAGAGATGGAGGGAACTTTAGTTCCTAAGTGGCAATTTCTCCAAGTCCTGCAAATTCTCCAATTGAAAACAGATCTTTTGGGTTGTATTTATAAGTGTGGGAAGTGGGAACACCTCATGATCCTTGATTCTTGACGAATGTATCTTTTGTTTTATGTACACTGAGAGCATTTGCACCAAGACTAATTCCTTCTGTGTCCAATCACACTTGGCCAATAAAGAATTCTGTTCTGTTCTGTTCTGTTCTGTTCTGTTCTGTTCTGTTCCGTTCCGTTCCTCTATTCTATTCCATTCCATTCCATTCTATGGTTCCTCTCTTCTACTCTACTCTACTCTACTCTACTCTACTCTACTCTACTCTACTCTACTCTACTCTACTCTTCTCTTCTCTTCTCTTCTCTTCTCTTCTCTTCTCTTCCCTTCCCTTCCCTTCCCTTCCCTTCCATTCCATTCCTTGACAAAGAGTAGGAGCCAGATAAAATCAGGAATAAATATGGAATCCAAGCGCTAGAGACTTCTGAATGTACATTTGCATTTGTTTAGCAACTGTTCCAAGTTACAACAGCACTGAAAAAAAAACCTGATTTATGACCGGTCCTCACACGTATAACTACTATCAAAGTTTGGGTGCTTTGTCAACTGGAATGTGTTTATCATATGACCACCATTTCTGACCTTCCCAGCTGGCTTCGAACAAGCAAAGTCAAGGGGGGGGGCGGGTGAGTTCGCTTAACGAACTTGTGATTCATGATCCTTCATTTCATCAAACTAGGGATACTCAATTCCAGCAATTCCGTTCTTTATACATTTTAGCCTCCAATTCCCTAATCATCTTGGTTGCTCTTCTCTGCACTCTTTCCAGAGTCTCAACATCTTTTTTATAGCGTGGTAACCAAAACCAAGGGTGGCTTTACCAAAGCATTATACAGTGGTACTAACACTTCACGTGATCACATCTTGATTCTATCCTTCTGTTGATGCAGCCTGGAACTGTGCTAGCTGGTGTTCTGACTTAGGCCTCCTTAGAAAGCCTCTAAAATGCAATCATAGTTCCGGCAAAACCTCTTTTATTTCCACAACTGTGAATTACGTTCATTCACAGCCTGCAAGGCTTTACAAACAGTCTTTCGGGGGAATGCATGTAAGCACCCACCTTATCACATTTGAAATGCTGCCAGGGAACTAATTGCCAAGCGCAGGGCAAGGCCAAACTTGACAGAATCAAAGAGACCTTTTCAAAGCTTGAAATCGACCAGACAAACTAATTGCTTCCTGCCAAAGCTCCCGTCCCATTCGCTCCTCTTTTATGCCCTAGGGGAGGAGCCAATCATCTCCGAGGTGTGGCCTTACTCCTGAGTCGACCCTGCTTTCTCAATTGTTCTTGTCTTCTGCTACTTCTGCGCATGTGCAGGCTGGGAAACAGTTCCAGAAACTTCCCCGCCTCATCGCTGTCTGAGTCTGAAGGCAGCTGATGACTGCCAGCCTGTCTTGGCCCCAGCCCTGACTCCGATGCAGAACCTTCGTCTGAGCCCTCCTCAGCCTCCAAGACTGGCTCAGGTTCTGTACTGACCAAGACTTCCGCCACCGTAATTAAGCACATGCTTAGTTAAAACAACTCTTGTTTTATTTCAACGCTAGGAATTATGTTCATTCCCAGCCAGGAATGAGTCCCAAACAGTCCCTCAAGATAAGCACCCACCTTTCTCTCCTTTGAATTGCTGCCAACAACTAAAGTGCCAAATGAACTGCAAAAAACCAACCGAAGTGCAAAGTCCACACAGAGCTTCAAGATTTAATCCAAACACAGCAAACAACTTTGCTTCCTGCAAAGGTTCCTCTATCTTTGCATTTCCTTTATACCTTAGGGGAGGGGCAATCATCTCCCAGCCTTACTCCCAAATCCCCCCTTTTGTCTCAGCTACTCTTGTCTTCTAGCAGCTCTGTGCACACACGTACTGGGAACAGGCTCCCCTTGTTCCTCTGCCTCGCTGCTGCCAGATTCCGGAGGCTCTGGAGTCAGCAGCCCACCCCCAGATGGTCCTGGCCCCATTTCTGCATTGGACGCAGGATCCTAATCCGAGTTCTCTCCAGATTCCTGGACTGGTCCCCGTTCTTCCCCACTGTCCGATTCCGCTGCTGTCTGCACTGGCTGCCGGTGAGCCACAACAATAGCAACCCAGTAAAACAGAACCCACAGCTTTCCCGTGACTCTTCAATCTTTCCCATACATTAACCACCGCTGCTTTAAAAAAGCACCTTTCTGACGATGGGAGATGGGATGCGATTTTTTTTTCCTAGCCTCTCTCTGTATAACCAAAGCCCTTTTTTGACCTTCGCAGATTTACAAAATTGTTGCTTTCGGTCTCGGTCCTCACAAGCCTTGTTCCTCCTTCCCCTCGACCTGCAATTTTCCAAGTACTTTGCCGCGCTGAACTTTGCGGGTGACTTTAAAACTCAGCATAATCTACTTCGGCTACCTACACAGTCAATACAAAGACATGAGACACAGGAGAACGCTAGGGTGAGAGATTATTATTAAGCATTTTTTTCCCCTCCCCCTTTCTGGAGTCGGAGAAATCCCAACGCCAGCAACAAAGGCTGCCTGTAAAATACCTAGGAAGCGCACAAAAATAAAAGGAAGGACAGGAACGGAATGAAAAATAGGAAGGTCAATATTTCCACCCGGCAGTCGAGGGGGATATATATGGCTCAGTTTTGTTCGAGAAATAAGAAATACTTATTTTAAGGGTGGTTTTCTCCTAGATTTATTCTCAGGATTGACAGCT